CTCTCTCTCTCTCTCTCTCTCTCTCTCTCAATCTATCTATCTATCTATCTATCTATCTATCTATCTATCTATCTATCTATCTATCTATCTATCTATACATATATATATAAGTTCAATAAAGAAAACATATAATACGAGTTTGTGTGTACACCCATGCACAAAACTGGCTCCAACCACGCACAAAAAAAAAAAAAAGTTAATTCCACCTTCATGACCCCCCTGTCAAATGTTGCGACAAGAACAAAAAATGAAATGAAATGGAAAACATATACCCAGAAGGAGATGAGATGAGAGACAACATTCGAAATTCAAATCAATGTTAAAGGACCGCATTCATAAAAGTGGCACATGTGTTGCACTCATTAAAGCAACCTCCGTCACAACAATTGACATTGGCGAGAACTTGCATGTCACTGTCCCGATTGTGATGCATACTCTGCACGGACGTTGTCCATGGACTTCATACGAGAATGAAGCGTCAGTGATGATGTCGGCGATGGTTGGGACGTCGATGATGATTGTGTCGACGAAGATGGTGAAGACGAGTTCGATGACGGCAGCGATGACGATGGTGATGACGAAGTATCGTCATCATCATCATCATCGCCGTCGTCATATAACTCGTCATCATCATCATCTCCCACGTCCCAACCACCGACGACATCACCACCGACGGTTCGTTTCGCCACGGTCTCGCCCGATGGATCCCACTACTTACATGACACGTTCCCCAAAAACAAAAACATGCAATCCACACAGAATCACCGCCAACAACACCGCTGCAGACATGTCATCATCATCATGTTAATGGCCGCCGTCATATAACTCGTCATCATCATCATCGCCGCCGTCGTATAACTCGTCATCATCGTCAAAAATATCGCTGCAGATATGTCACAACACCGCTGCAGACGAAATCATCCTATCTCCCCCTTTGTTGGGGCACTACATCGAAACAGGCACTCCACAATCATTGTGCCTCGAACCTTCTCTCCCGAACACTACGGCGAAACAGCGACTGTTAAACCTATCTCGGAACCGCAACACACGGAACGCCCTCAACGATAACGAAAATAAACTCATCGACCGAATGTCGCCACCGCACTCACATCGACATACATCACCGGTGGTTTACGCCCGTAGCAATCACCATTTACGGACACGAAGGTCATCCTCAGGCACCCATGTGTCCACCAGGCCGTGCAAGTACCCCCTGCCCTCCAGAGGGGGGTCGAAAATGGTGTCGTACCAAGGCGTGTTGTCCATGCTGTTCTCAAACTCTTCGGCGATGGCGAACACAAGGAACTTGATGGTGTCCCCCACCGCGTCCCAGTGGGGACCTTCCCATCTGTTTGGCACCACCTCATGCCTCTTCGTCACGAACAGGAGGACGTGGCTCAAAGCGCCATCGCTGTCAAACCCCAATCCAGCCGTGATGTCCATCGCATGGACATCGTTCACGCGCACTTCATATACACGGGTGTCGTGACGTGTGACAGCATTGTAGAAACCATGTCACGCCCGTGACGCCCATTGCGTTTGTCTGGGAGCTCCGCGATGATCACGTCGCGGCCGCAGACCCACTTCCACACTACAACTACGAGAGTCATTCTCTCTCTCTCTCTCTCTCTCTCTCTCTCTCTCTCTCTCTCTCTCTCTCTCTCTCTCTCTCTCTCTATCTATCTATCTATCTATCTATCTATCTATCTATCTATCTATCTA